TTTTTTATTCTACTTGGAATCTCATAAGAAAAAATCAGGATTATGGACAACAACATTGTACCAGCTCATTCCTTTTAGTCATTGGCTTAAGGACACCAATTTTCAGTTGTTATGGTTTCATATACTCAGGTGCTTGGCAGCTTTCTGAAATTTCCTCCTGTCCCTTCAGACTTTCCCACACGTACAGAGGGTGTGGCCCACCCAGCCGGTGACATTAAGACTTGTCAATGTAAGACTGTGATGAGGAGGAAAGGCACGGGGCTGACTGCCCAAAGCAAATAAATATACTCACTGTATCTCCCCTGGCCAGCAATGCAGCTATGGCAACAGCTTCTCAACCCTGGGCCAGCCCCACCCAGGCATGGGCCAAGAGGCTTTCCCTAAAGGAGGAAACAGTCTGACTCAACAGTGAACTGTGGCATATAGACTCAGACAATTCCGAATTGGATATTAATACTAAGCCACCCTCAATCCTCAGCAACTTGGGTGTCAGCTCAGATTTCCCTATGAGTCTATGAAAACCACCGTGTCCTCTCTCCCCTCTGCTCTGCAAGCCCTCATCTACATGCGAGTTTAATATTTACCACGTGGAGATGAAGTGATTGGGCTTCCTCGGGCTTTGGAACAACACGCACAACCGCAGCCAGCTTCGGGGTTTAAGAATGAGCTGCAGTCCATGTGAGGACCCAGGGAGGCTGCTTCTGTAACTGGCTGTGTTATTCCCCACACACTGACGCCTCAGGCCCACATAGGAAGTTTTGGGTCCACCCCCAGGCCCAACTCATGCTGTAGGATCTGCAAGGTGAAGAGCAAAGGAATGAAATGGAAAACAGCCATGACTTTCATGAGGAGGGATGAAGCCCAGCAAGCAACTTGAATTCAGGGTAGAAATCCAGTTAGGTCAGGAAGGAGCAAAGGCCATGAGTTCTTTTCTCACTACCCCCTCTGCCCACCCTGAGAAGGAACGGTCTAACTACTCATCAAACCTGTGTTCCCAAATGAGGCAAAATTATCTAGGTGTTGCTTAGCTCCAGAAAATAATTTTAGTTAAATGAAGCCCTCAAACCCCAACTCAACAGCATGTATGCTCCACTTGTCTGCAGCTTCTGAGTGTGAGGAGCAATGAACAGCAGAGGCATCCACACCTGGGCTATTTGCATGAACTGCTTCAGAGCCGGCACTCCTGGACTTTCAACCCCCTGCTTTCCTAGTGTATGGCCCCACCTCCCTAACTTGTCACAGTCCCCGCCATGCTCTTTCATCCCCGTGGCCCAGGCTCCCTCCTGCCACAACAGCTCACACACCTCTTGCTGTTCAGGGGGCTTTTCTCAATTTTCAGTGCCCAGATGAGTACTGCACCTAAAAACAAGGCCCTACATCTTTTGTTCAACTCTATTTCCTGCAAGTAGCAAGAGTTGTAGGAATTGAGGTGTGAGTGGTTATAAACTCAGATTTGCCTTTCCCCCCATCCCATGGAGCAGATTAAATGTGCATAGGCAACAGGAATAGTTCTAGTAGCATAGAACTGGCATAGTAGCTAGGTGTAAGGCACTATCGAATGCTTCTCATGTATTACTTAATCTGCAAAATAACCTTACTAGGGAGGCATTATCCTCATTTTTGGATAATGACTCTGAGACTCAGAAAAGCTAGGTATCTTTATTAAGACCACATTTTACAGAGGACAGGGTGAGATTCAAACCCGGGTGGGCTGACTCCCAGCAGTGGCATTGGAAGGGATGGGGCAGGGGGTTGGTGGGAGGAACCCATTTTGCTGCAGGTGGAGAGAATTTTTTTTTTTTTATAAAAATATTTTATTGATTTTGTACAGAGAGGAAGAGAGAGAGATAGAGAGTTAGAAACATTGACGAGAGAGAGTCACCGATCAGCTGCCTCTTGCACATCCCCTACTGGGGATGTGCCCGCAACCAAGGTACATGCCCTTGACCGGAATCGAACCCGGGACCCTTCAGTCCCCAAGCCGACGCTCTATCCATTGAGCCAAACCGGTCCCGGCTTTTTTTTTTTTTTTTTTTTTTTTTTAGAGAGAGAATTTTTAAATAATAATGAAATCAACTCAAATTATTACACCATGTATAAACAACTTTCGATAGAACAGTGGTGAAATAGTCTTCCTTACTTGGGTGGATTCTCCCATCATCTAGTAATAGGTTAGACAGTGTTGTGTCTGTATATGGTGCCTGACAATAGAACAATCATGGCACAACTGAGGGGAGCTTGGCTGCAACACTGCGGATGGCTGAGCAAAGATATGGAAAGAATCTGGGGTTTTAAAATTACTGTGGTAAAATACACAAAAAATTTACCATTTTAACCATTCAGTGCAGTGGCATTAAGTACATTCACAATGCTGTGCAACCATCACCACTATCCACTTCCAGAACTTCTTCATCACCCCAAAAAAGAAACTCTGTACCCATTAAATACGACTTTCTATTATTCCCTCCTCCAGCCCTGGTCACCTCTATTCTTCTGTCTCGATGAATTTGCCTACTTTAAGTACATACAATATTTGTCCTTTTGTGTCTGGCTTTTTTTTTTTTTTTCCACTTAACATAGTGTTTTCATGGTTGTATCTATGTTGTAGCATGTATTAGAATATTATTCCTTTTTAAGGTGCATTATTATACTATATGTAAGAAGCTGGGTTTTAATGGCACCTTTGAGGCACCATATGTTAGGGGACCTCTTGTTAAGGTGGACAACAAGTTTACTTTACTGGGTAGGTCATATGCATTGGGTTTTGTTTCTGACAGCTGAAAGAATCCTAATCGACACATAAGGCACAATTCAGATTCTTCTGAAAAGCTCCAGGGTGGGCAATAGGCCCGGAGTACTCACAGTGGAAGCTCTCCAGCATGCGGCACAATTCTCCAGCATTTCCCCGTGGGTATGTGTGTAAATCTAAATCTATGAGTGTGTACGTATGTATAGGGTACACAAACACATGACCTAGCCCACACCTTTACCTCTTTTTAACCTTAGTTTAGCTATTTTGATAACTTTCTTTAAAAAAATGTTCTTATTGATTTCAGAGAGAGAAGAAATGAGAGGGATAGAGCGATAGAAACATTAATGTGAGAGAAACATTGACCAGCTGCCTCCTGCACACCTACTGGGGATCAAGCCGACAATCCGGGCATGTGCCCTGACCGAGAATCAAACTGGTGAACTCTTGGCTCGTAGGTCAATGCTCAACCACTGAGCCACACCAACCAGCTATTTAGATAATCTCTTGTTAGAACTGTTAGGTTCAACATACAGGATACAATTATTCGGTACTTAACCTTTTTCATCATAAAAAAATATTGAACTCCAAATGGAGTGAGACATTGTGTCTGTTGCTCTACAGAAGAGTACAGATTGATGTCACTTTTGAAAATACTTTTCCAAAATCTTCAATAGAGTTAGTAATAATCAAGTTTAGTCGAGGATAAAGAATACAAACATTTACTTAAGGAAAACCATCCAGCATCAATAGCTCTGAGTTTGGCAAGTACTATGAAGAGTGGGTGATTAGATTTTTGTTGGTGTATGAAATTTGAGATACAGGAAGCAGTATGGCAAAAAAAAAATACTTATTATTAAAATTGAAAAAGAAGAGTCAGTAAGCTACTATGATAGGAAGGAACTTGAGGTTAAGAAAATGTCACCATGCAATGAAAACAATCCCCTCCCTAATAAGTACTAGTAGAGAAGGAGGCTAGACTTACTTGCAAGATTATGGGTGAATGTTCCTCAGGGAACATTTTGGTTCCTGGCTGTGAAGAGGTTGGACTGTACAAAGATGTGGAGCAGACCCCCGTACTAGAAGGAGACACAGAGAGGCAGGATAAGGAGAAAGAAAAAATCAGACAAAATGGCTTTGCTCGAGGGTCCCTATAAAAAATATACTTTTAAAAATCTGAGTAAGCATATATTACAATTTTTATGTGATATAAAATATAATAAACAGCATGAAAATTACTATACACATATAAGAATCCCCTTTCATTGTAAAGATATACATAAAGCCTCCTTAAACTATATTATGTATCACATTACAAAATTCTAATTTTGCTGTCCCCTTTTCTGGTTCCTCGTTGTTCACATTCTGGGAGAGAACCAAGGCCTTTAAAGACCCCTCACTCCAGTCCTTTTCTTTCATAGGTAAAGAGGCTAAGCAGCTTGCCCACGGTCACATTCACCCTCAGTGGCAGAGACTGGACTAGACCCAGGCCTGCTGACCTCCCACTGGGGGCTCTTCACATTATAACATGACCTGGTTCACACCCCACTCCTCCTGGTCTGTACCTGATGGTTCTCCCTGAATCTCAGCTGGGCAGAAGGGCTGTGAGGGACAGGACAGGTCTGTTGGGGGTTTCTGGGTTGCTATGAGCGTGGGACACTAGATAAAGTCCTGGTTACAGAAAATGACCAACATGAGGAGCTTCAGGCTCCAGGGAACATCGCAACCCTCCTCCATGGAGTCTATCCATCACATGACCAACTGAGCTGCTAATCAGTAGTGGGACTTGCCTCCAAATATGCAAATTCCAGCAAAAAGAAAAATACATTTAACTGGATTTTTTTTTTTTTTAAAGCCCCATCATTCTCATATCTATTTCTGATTTCATGTTCATCAGCACTCAACATTCCATATGTTATATTCTGGCTAACCAGATTTCTGGGCGACAATAGGGGGGATGCTTTATCACAATATTCATGAGAGGTGTCTCAAGAGGGAGGGTCGTCAGATCTCTTGGAGCCATTCTTATGTGTTTCCTTTGAGGAGAAAATTAAGTGATATATATTTACTGTTATTTTTAAATCCTCACCAGAGGATATATGGTCTTACTGATTTCACAGAGAAAGGATGGGAGAGAGGGAGGAAGGGAGGAACAAACATTGATGTGAGAGAAAAACATCAATCAGTTGCCTCCCATTGCACCCCAATTGGGAATCAAACATGCAACCTGGGTATGTGCCCTGACCAGAAATAAAAACTCCAGCCTTACAGTGTATTGGATGACAGTCCCACCAACTGAGCCACATAGGCCAGAACGAAAGTGTTATATATATTTTTAAATGTCTATCATGCATGTTTTTGTTCAAGGTTTAACACAAGAACTATGAATTGTGAACATCCTTTGTCATACTCATGAATTAGGAAAACTGTGACAGCAAAGATTTTTAAACTGACTTTCTCGAGTTTATTGAAAATTCAAGAAGTACCACAATTCTTTGATTGTCTGGCAGAAATTTATCTCCCTTGTGCTCTCTAGGTTTCTGTAAGAATAGGATCTCTTTTATTTAAACCTGTCCTGGAAGTTACTTTCTCAAGGGAAGACAAGTCATTTGTTTTATAAGTTGAGAGCCAGCCACGTGTTCTGTGTTCCACCTCAGGCAGTGAATTCTCTTTGTGCCATTCTTCTTGTCTCTTTCCATATAGTTTGCTGGGTCTTATACACAGACTCCTGGAAAATTCTTTCCACTTGTGTAGGAAAACCACGACTTTCTTCCTCCAGGGCGTTGATGGTTCGCAGAGCAAAGGGAGTCCTTTCCCGGGTGAGGGGGTTGTTCAGGGGCCGCATGGGTATGACAGAGTTGTATTTGTGCTGCCTGTTGACGGAGTTCATGAGGGACGTGTAGAACTGGAACCTACACCAGGTATCTCTTAAAAAGTTCTCGGTCAACAACAAGATGGTCCATGCAGACCCATTTACAGCATCGTCTAAATTCTGTAAATGCTGTCTGCCACACGGCATCTCAGCAAAGATGATGCCAGGTTTGATGCCAAAGTCATTCTGGAGTAGATCCTGGACTCTGAGAGCTTCGTCTGTGTCATCCGCTGCGTGCAATATCACAAATTTGAAGAACACCTCTTCTTCTGTCTCCTCTTCAGACATCCCATCCACGCCTGCAGCTCCCGCCAGCTCTCCTGCTGGCGTCTCTGTTGTGCAGCTGTGCTCAGCAACCTCACGCAGGGAGATGTCAGATTTCTTGGAATCCGACTCATGACATCTCTGACTTGTATCCATACTGTGGCTTTTACTCAAAGGGAGAGAAAGAGGGCAGGGATCTCTTTTAGACTTCCCAACACCCATGATAAATATCCAAGTTAGTAGAGAAAAGTTTTATTTCTCAGCATTTCTTTTCATTCTAAAAGAAAAAATAAAGAACATTGTAAATTTAATCAAAACATTAAAAACAGAAATGTGCATTCAACATTAAAACTCAAAAAGATGACAATATATAGGTCCTAAAGAAGAAGTGCCACACAGATTATTGGGAAACAAAATCAACTGTCTTTTGTGAGCTTCACAAGGACTACTACAGGTGGTCAAAGGTAAGTTAAACCAAGTGTTCAGGCAAATATAATAGGAGATATTTGGAAGTTTTCATTTTTTTAAATATATATTTTATTGATTTTACACAGAGAGGAATTGAGAGGGATAGAGAGTTAGAAACGTCAACGAGAGAGAAACATCGACCAGCTGTCTCTTGCACACCTCCTACTGGGGATGTGCCCGCAACCAAGGTACATGCCCTTGACCGGAATCGAACCCGGGACCTTTCAGTCTGCAGGCTGACGCCATATCCACTGAGCCAAACCGGTCTCAGCAATATTTGGAAGTTTTAAATGGTATTCTATTGCTGTGCACGCCACCATCTTTGAGGGTGTGGCAGTCAATTAGCATATTTCCTCCTTATTGGTTGTGAGTGCCATTGGCTTTTGTGAGGGTGTGACTGTCAATTAGCATATTCCCTCTTTATTAGATAGGATACTAGAGGCCCAATGCATGGGATTTGTACATTAGTGGGGGGTGTGCCCTGCAGGGATTGGCCTGCTGTGGGAGTGCCGCACATCCCCGTCAGCCCGGTGGGGCTCCCACTGCATTGAATGTCTGCCCCCTGGTGGTCAGTGCACATCATAGCTACTGGCCGACGGATCATTCTGCCGTTTGGTTGCTGGGCTTTATTATATAGGAGTCTAATTTCAGAGTGCAAGAATTAAATCAGACATTAAAGAAAAGTATTCCATGTGAATCTAATTTAAATAAATGTTCAGATAATGTTGGTAACATTGTTAATGTAACTCCAAGATAGGCAGTGACAAGGGGGATTGTTTTATCAAAAAACAGAAAGTTCAGAACACATAACTTTAGAATCCATATTTTCAAATATGGGCCCATCCTGCTTATTTTCCAGAGCATTTTTATTTATTGTTTGTGGGCAAAGACCAGAGTTCAGGAAGAAATCAGATTACATTGATAATGACATGATTACATTGATAATAACAGAGCTTCATATACCAAAGTAATTAAGGTTTAGAAGAAACCATTCAGCAAAAATGGTGAAAAACTGTTATGGGAAGGAAGAAAAATAGAGAAAAAAACACCTAGAACTTCTTTCTCATTTTTATAAAGTGTGAAAGGGTTTGCTGCTTCCTCTGAATAGTGAAGGCTTTGCCAGCTCCTGTCTGTCATTTATTATATCTGTACTTCAGGATCCCACTCCATTATACATTATGCCAACTACAAAGAGGTATTCTAGGCATAATAATTCTAAACTGCTACATACGTACATATATACATTCCAAGTAATTAAAAACAAACCAATTTGCCATGACCGGTTTGGCTCAGTGGATACAGCATCAGTCTGCAGACTGGGGAGTCCCAGGTTCGATTCCAGCCAAGGACACCTGCCCAGATTGCAGGCTTGATTCCAGTGGGAGGCATGCAGAGGCAGCTGATTCTCTTTCATCATTGATGATTCTATCTTTCCTTCTCCCTTCCTCTCTGCAATTAATAAAAAATATATTTTTAAAAAATGTTTAAAAACAAATGAATTTGAACTCTCTTCACTGGTTAGGATTAACTGCCGATTTTGTTACTGCACTGTGAAAACAGGTTGTACTATGCAAAGGTGCAGAAAGAAGCTTCGCCTGCATAATAAAATAACTATTAAACCATTCAGAGACATTGGTTTACTGTGCCAATTAGAACGATCTTCGCTTCTTCATTGAGTGGTTTGTTAAAGCAGCTTACTATCATTGTCTTGATCATTAGCTGCTGCAGGTAAGTGCACTTAAGTAATAAAGATATTCATAAAAATGTCAAAATTTTCTAAGGTAAAATTCTGTGACAAGCCAGATCACAAAGTCTTTTGAACTAAAAATTTATAAAAGAATTACAACGTAATGCCTTCGTTTTCTTAAATATCAGTCAGCAAAAAGAGCAAAACCACCCAGAAACCTCTGTTTGCTATTCAACTTCCAAACATACCCACCAGCCCCTAAGCAGAAAAACGTGAATGACTTTGTCTGAAAAGCTGCACTATGACCTTCTACTTTGGAGGGAGAGAGGAAGGAGAGGGCCCAGGGGAAATGATGTGGAAAGCTGTGTGCTGAAACCTGCCTTTCCTACCATCAATGATGCACAGCCGGGGAGATGGTCCGATTCACCGCTGGGGTTCGCAAGACTGGGAGAAAGGAGAGAACCTGCGCTTACTCTGAGCCATTAACTTCACTGATAAAGGGTTTTACTAGATCAGAAGGAAGGCTTGGAATGCTGAAGGAAAAGGAGGGAGACAGAGGCTCACAAAAAGAATCCCGGGAAGCTCACTTTACAGTTCTCCTCACCCATCAGGAATGGTCAGCACCAGGGCTATAACACATTTAGGTTTCAATTCCTTTTCCTCGGCTAAATGGAAGGAGAGTGAAGGCAGCGGCTGGGGAGAGGCACATGAGATGGCTGTTCACAGGAATAAAATCCTGTGTGCATTCACTTTTTAGGAAAGGTAGTGGTTGAAACACCTAATGACTTTGAAAACATTTATATTGAAAAGTCTCACTCCTATCCTTATCCATCCTATTACCCTCAAAGTCTCCAACTGTGATCAATTTTACAAGTTTCCCCTATATCCTTCTACTGTTTCTTTATGAATATATATATTTTCTTTTCTTTCCTTTTTATAAAAGATGTATTATATATACCTATATATGTGAATGTTCATTTACACACACACACACACACAAACACATACACACACACACACACACACCCTGCCAAACACCAGTATGTAGCAGACTGCTTTTCCCATTAACGCTATGACATCAGAGCTTTCCATATCAGCACATAGAACACTTCCTCACTCTTCCTTACAATGACACAGCCTTCCAGCATGTGGATGTACTATAACTGTCCCCTGTTCCTGCATTATTATGAACAATGCTTCAATGAATAACTTTGGGCAAAAGTCATTTCACATGCGTGCAAGTTCATCGTAGAATAATTCTACCAAATGGGATTTATATATCAAATAACAAATGCACTTGTGATAATGATAGATTTGGCCAAATTGTCTCTATGAGATTGAATCTTTTTTGTTTGTTTGTTTTTAACTTGATACAATGACACCCCCGCCTCCCCTCCCTTGCTCCAGCAAAGACCTAAGGCCAGGGAAGCCACGAATTACTACAGATCACAGCCCAACAGAGCTAATCACATCCCGTTAAGCAAGCGAAATGTGGAAAAGTATAATCCATCCGAATGAGGCCTGACACTCAGGTTCTAAAGGAAAGATCAGCACAGGTCTGAGATGAGAGAGAATGAAGGTCCACAATGTACCCACTTTATGTCCAGGCTAAAGAGGTTCCAATAGAACCCCTATATTAAACAGGAGTAAGATGGAAAGAACATCTTGCCAAATATGCAAAAATATTACAGGTAATAAAAAATATATATAAAGAAGAATCACAGCATGCAAAAGACAAATAAAAAATTCCATTTTCCTTAAGGTTCTGGAATCAGACTGTCTGAATGTAAATCCCAGATCTGCTATTAAAAAAACTAGGAAACTGTCGAAACCGGTTTGGCTCAGTGTATAGAGCATCAGCCTGTGGACTGAAAGGTCCCGGGTTCAATTCCGGTCAAGGGCATGTACCTTGGTTTCGAGCACATCCCCAGTAGGGAGTGTGCAAGAGGCAGCTGATGGATGATTCTCTCTCATCGATGTTTGTAACTCTCTATCCCTCTTTCTTTCTCTCTGAAAAATCAATAAAATATATTAAACACACACACACACACACACAAAAAAAAAACAACACAAAAAAACCACAACAAACACACACACAAAAAACTGGAAAACTTTGTACAAGTTACCAAATATCTTTGTGCTTTGGTTTCACCGTGTGTAAAATGGTAATAATTATAGTACTATATGTAGGGTTTTTAGTATATAATTATAGTACATATAAAGATCAAAATGGCTTAGAACAATGCCCCCCAAATTTTAGCAGCTGTTACTGTTATTACATATGTAATGAAAGCTAAAGAAACTTTTACACAACAAACGCTTATGCTCTGGGACAATGCAACTCCAAGTGTAGTGCATGGACAAGTTGCTAGTCTCTGAACTTTTTGGTGACAGCCTATGTCAAGATAAGGAGATTGTGCCAGAGTGTCCATCAACCACATCAGTTAAATATGCTGTTTAATTCTGCTGACTTTTTTCATAGTAAGACATTATCAATGAAGGAAGCAGCATGGTTTCCATTGGATCCATGCTTCTTACATTACAGGTAAGCACTTGGAGTAATACTTACTCTAGGAGACACAAAAGACAATATTTAGGGCAGGACTCTGCTTTCTCCCCTAGGTTATTATTGCACCAGCCTCCCAACTGGTTGTTCTGCCTGTCCACGGCCTTACAGGCTTCTAGCCTCATCTCCTTACTGCAACTCTTTTAACCTGTCTGAAACACTCCAACTGAACACCTACCAGGGCTCTCTTTCTGCCAGCATGATCAGACTCAAAGTCCTGAACAGGGTATCAGTGGCCTCTTATGCTCTGCAATCCTACTTATCTCTCCATTCTAATTTCTCATCACTGCCTTCTTCTCACCCTCATATTCATGGACTGAAGCCATGTAAACACCTAGTGCAAAATGATCCTAACAAAATTTGCCCTAGATAGTCTATAACCCTAGGGCAATCCATAAAACAAAAATATGAAAAATAAGATTAACAGAATTAGATGGAAAGG